ATGTCAAAATGTAATGATTGCATTCTATTGTTGAAGCATTTAGACTGTCATTGTGATGTATCTGTCGTCAGAGTGCGAAACAATGCACAATTCTGTATACAACATACAAAAACACTGACACACACTGATAAATACAGTATTCATTTCTTCAAAATCAATATGCTAATTTTGTCATTCATTCGATAAACTAATAATAACAATCATAATAATAATAACAAAAAAGTTTAATTTTTTGAAATGGGTATATAAAAAAAACACAGATCAATAAGTTTTGCTGTTCAATATCTAGTGTTTGTATTTTATCGTGTATATATATATATGTGTGTATGAGGTGGCGTCTCTTGACTATGAGTCTCGATTATTACTAAACTTAAACAAAATTTCTAGTAAAAATATTGATTGGTGTACAGGTTTCATAGACACACGATATTTGATCAATCAATCATTGTTAGGACACCATTAGAAACCCGAAATCACTGAAATATGGCTGTTTCGTCCCCAGTATGGGACTCATCAGTGGCAGTGCGGATTCAAGACTCCTGATATTAAGCAGGATTACCATCCAGAACTTACGATCTTGAACGAGAACGCCAAAAATGTTGTAGTGAGTAAACAAAACTGATTCAATCTTGGTAATAATCAGTCAGTCAGTTACAACGTAGAACTTCATACGTACATACATCAGTTCAAGTTGCCATTTCCCTACATTAGCACAGAGACGCAATAGTCAATTCAAATTCCATAGTGGTAGCGTTAGTAGAAGTATTTATTACTGGTTATTACCAAGATGGTAGATCAATAAATGAAGTAGTGAAACTTCGTCAGTTGAGTTGGTTGGGACATGTCTTACGAATGCCCAACCATCGACTGCCTCAATCAGCTATGTTTTGTGGTGTAGGAGTAGGTTGGAGGAGGGGCAGCCAGACCAAAACATGACATCAGTCCATGAAATTATTGATAACTGGACTGAGTCATTTTGATGGATGTATATTACCGGTTTGAGGTCCGCGAAATGAAAGTCACCGATGATTAGAGACCTTGAACGACCTGGTTCAAAATCGTTTGCAATGGCGCACGTGAATCTCTGTCTTTGTGTTTTCCAAAATTCTAATCTCTGGAATTCCTCATATATATATATATATATATATATATATATATATATATATATATATATTTATCAGCAGTGCGTAGGATCGAAGACCCTCGGTTCAAATCTTGGGAGTCGCAGGAGTCGTGAATGCGCACTGCTACTGATGCGTACCATCCTACAGTACTTCCAAGTTTCTAATGCTCATCTCTAACAAGGATTAAATTCATATCTTCAGTCATCAAAAACTATTCTCATAACTCTATATTGAAAAAAATACATTACTGTTTATTTTTCATTGTTCAACAAAGTTAATTCTACATCACATTGATCGTATATCAGTTTCTGTTTGATTATAGAATGGTTTAAGAGTACATTTCATGTTGACAATCAATTGTCATGGTTACCTTTATAAAATCAACATTATTTACTGTTAAAGTATATTCTTTAAAAACTAGTTTCAGATATGTATTTTATAGAAATACATATTTTCCGTTCACACAGTATTCTCAAATAAGAAAAAAATTATTTAAGTTCATTGAGATTTTTGTTTTACACCTTAATATAAATATCAGTGTTAAAGCATAAACAAGTTTCATCTTGTCTTATTTTAACCAATCACGTGTACCGGTATTAGATAGAGCATTATTGATTGGACATTGAACTAAAAAATTGAACACTACTTGACAAGGACATTGACCTTGACAAAGAACACTATTCTCACTTTGTGAGAAATCATATTGATTGGACATTGAACTAAAAAATTGAACACTACTTGACAAGGACACTGACCTTGACAAAGAACACTATTCTCACTTTGTCAATAACCAATAAAAAACTAAACATTTGTGATATATATACTTATTTGTAGAACGAAATGATGCAAACTTTTACACTTTGTAGTTAGAATTGTAAAGGTGGGGGGAGTTAGGGTTTTGTGTAGATTTTAATTTTGATTTCGAAAATATCGATTTTCGCGCACAGAGAGTTCGTTCATTCATCTACTCTGCGTTTGTGCTGGAGTATTTCTGATTATGATGTAATTAATAATTTAGCCTACTCAAAATGTCATAAACTAAATAATGACATTACGATCATTACACTTCAATTTGTATGCAAAGTAAAAAAAAGTTAAACAAGATCATATAGTTTTCGGGGAAAAATAAATACCACTTTACAGAGCTTCTTAGTTCATTTAAACTACTTATAGTAATAAACTATTGATATATTGGTCGGTTGGTCGGTCAGCCAGCTACAACGTAGAACTTCGTACATAAGTACGTACGTGTGTACGTACATCAGTTCAAGCTACCATTCCACCTTATTAGCATAGAGAGATAGTATTGTCAATTCAAATCCCATTCTAGTAGAGGTAGTGGAAGTATAGACAATTATCGGAAAGATCAGGGATCGATGATATGTTAGTCAATCAGTTGCAACGTGGAACTTCATACGTATGTACATCAGTTCAGGTTGCCGTACCACAAATGTCAAATCAAATCCCATAGTGGTATAGATAGTAGAAGTATTAATGGTAATGAAGAAGACTAGGGTTTGAAGATATTATTCAAGAAGTATAATTCAGTGAGATAAGATTAGAAAGACAAAGGTAGAGATGCTGACGATTCCAGAAGATTAGGATTTGAGAGAGCACAACGAATGGATGCACGATCGATTTTGAGCCATGTCGCTAAAGGTCTCTAACCATCGGTGACTTTCGTCTCGCGGACCCCAACCGGGTAGTCTACATCTAACAACATGAATCAGTCCACTTGTCAGTGAATTCATGCATTTGTGCGATGTTTTGGTCTGGCCGCCCCTAACTTTCTTCCAACCTACTCCTACACAACAAAACATAGCTTGTCGAGGCAGTCGGTGGTTAGCCATACGTAACACATGTCCCAACCACCTCAACTGATGAAGTTTCACCACTTCATCTACTGATCTGCCATCCTTACCTAGAACTCGTTTACTAACGACAACATTGTTTACTCGGTTGTCCCACGATATACGAGCAATGCTTCTTAAACATCTATGACCGAATACTAGTAACCTAAGAACATCTTCTACTCTTAACGACCATGTTTCACAGCCATGTAGGAGAACGGAGCGAACTGCTGCGCAGTACACCCGTCCTTTGGTTAGCAAACGGGTATCACGCCTATGCCATAAGTTACGCAGGTTGGCAAAAGCCAATCGAGTCTTCTGTATCCGCGCTGAGATTTTGTCAGTCACCAGGCTATCAGCGCTGATGAGACTCCTTAGATAAGTGAAGTGATCAACACGCTCGACTACTTCACTCCCTATCACTAGTTCAGGTGCCGATGCCGATGATATGAATCCATGAGTATAATCTAGTGAAAAAAGATTTTGGAAGAGAAAAATAAAGATGATGATGATGAGGAACTCAGATGATTGGAATTTGAGAGTTGACAAAGATGGGATGCATCTGCACCATTGTAAGCGATTTTGAGCAAATGTCATTAAAAAGTCTCTAACCATCGGTTACTCTTACATCTCACGGATCCCAACCAGGTAATCTAACACCTACTAACATGACTCTCAGTCCAGTTAACAATGAGTTCCTGTTTTAGTTTGGGACTGGTGAATTTGGACAGTTGAGGATTTCTAATACCCAAATTTATCGTAGAACAGAACTCAAATGTTAATCAGCAGATCAAATACTTGAAGCCTGTTTCAAATAGTTCAATTTAGCTAACTAAGGAATGTGATGTTCGTTCATACAAATAATATTAGCTCGAGTTATCTTATTATTGGAATTATGATAAGCTTTGTAAAAAAACACAGTTACTTTCAGTAGTGTAGACTATTCGTTTGCAAAATGATTTCTTCTCTGTTTTGAAGTTTAGTTCATTGAACTTAATATATAATTAACCTCTTTTACAGTCAGTCGATCTGTCCTACTTCATCGGCGTGAAAAAAGGCCAATAAGAGTAGAGAATATTCGCAGAATATTCGATCATAAGTATCTGAGAAGGATTGCTGATATATTCTGGTGTGGTGCGAGCTACTTATAAGTAGTATATGACGTGAGTGTAAACGTAATGTCTGGTAGCAGAAGATGGGGGAAGATCAAGAAAGGAAGAGTTAGAAGAACACAATGGGATTTGTATGAAACGCATGAATAGTGACAATGGATTGATGTTTCGCAACAGGAACAGTCCAGTTCGATATGATGAACTGATATTTTGCAAATGAACGATTTACGATATGGTTTTACTCTGGTTTTACTGAGTAACTCTGTAATTTTCGTTAAATACAATTCGTTTGCCCGCACCTGTGTTCTCGTTCACTACACTGGGACCACCGAGTATGCAATACTAAGTAAGGATGAAGTAGTGAAACTTCATTAGTTTAGGTAATTAAGATATATATTATGAATGACCAACCCCCTCCACTGCCTCGACAAGCTATGTTTTGAGACAAAGGAGTAGGGTGGAAGAAAGTTAGGTGCGGCCATACCAAAACATGGCATAAATCCATGAAGTCCTGGTTAGGGTCGGTGAGAAAATAGTAACCGATGATCAGAGTCTTTTAATGACATGACGCAAAATCGTTTGTGATGGTTCAGACACATCCATTCTTCGTCAACTCTCAAATCATAATCTTCTGAATTCCTCCTGACCTCTCTCTTTCTCTTTCTAAACTAATCTCACTGAATTATACTTCTTGAATAATATCTTCGAACTCTAATCTTTCCGACTATCACTTATACTTCCACTACCTCTACCATAATGGGATTTAAATCAACAATACCATCTCTCTGTGCTTATGTAATGGAGTGACGGCTTGAACTGATGTACATACATACAAAATTCCACGTTGCAGCTGACTGACAGACTGGTTGACTGATCGATAAACACAATAGACACAAATAATAAATTCGTTTTACCTGATAATTTTCTTGGACTTAGCCTACCGATATTTTGTTGATTCACAAATAGTCTTGATTGACTATAAATAAATTGTGCATCTTTTTCACAACGTTCTGTAACTGGATCCACTAGATCACCGGAACCGCCACGAGCTGGTGATAATGAGCGAATATAATCAAAATGATCATCAATCAAATTCTCTTTATTTGATCCATGCCGGTCGATTGTATTTCTATCTTCTGGAATCGGTGATCGATGATCGTATGTTTGTTCAGGGGAGGAGAATCTTGGATCAGCAGGTGGGATACGACTTTTTACAATTGGATCCGAAGATCGTTTATCTACAGTAGGAAGAATTGATGTCACTACTGAACCACGATGTCCTTCTGTATAAGTTGGTGCAGAAGTTGTTGTTGCTGTTGTTGTCGGTGGTGTATCACGATATTGATTGTCTAAATGTTCTTGCATTTGTGCAATACGATTATTCCATTGACGTTTAAGTTGTTCAAAATTCTCTTTTGACTTTGGACTACTTACAATGGATTTAGTTTTTCCAGGTGGTTCAGCTCGTCCTATAATAGGAGCTGGTTGTTTCTGCGGTGAACTAGAAACTTTACTTTGAATTAATGGTGATTTCGGTGAAGTATGATTTTTATCAGATATTTTAAATGTTTTCGGTGGTGTAGGCACCGCTGGCGATTCGATTGGTTGTGAAGTAGGCGGTGGTAAAGGTGGTGGAGGATGTTGAATAATTGGACTTTTTGGTAAATCCACTTCATCTCTTCCTTCAGGAGATAATTTTTCATAGATTCTAATTTGTTCAGGTAAATAACTATTCAAGACAGCATCATCATTATCTTCGATAATTTCTTCTTGAACCAGTATAATTTCTCGTTTACGTCGTCGACTTTCAGAACGTTCAAAATTAAAACGATTCGGTTTCCGCGATGTATATTCATTACTCATATAACCAAGTAACTCAGTATCATACGATTCCTGCGATGCTAAGAGAATTGAAGCTAAATAATCGTTTTTAAGATAATCACCAATTTTTTCACTATGACTTGATTTTAAATTATCCAAATGCATTGAAATACATAAACTAAGTGTAACTTGTGCTAAACCTTCTTCAGTCATAAATTCTTCTTGACGTATAATACCTATGGTTCGATTATCGGGCAATACAAATGCCGATTGATATTCACGTTTAATTTTTTTGCCCACAAATGCAATCGATGACGATGAGTCAGTTTGTAATGATTGAAAACTGAATTGATTGTATAATGATGGGATATTTTTGTCTTCATGATAATGATGATCGGTGAGTCGTTCACCAACTGAAACACTTGGTTGTAAATTATTCGGTGAGTGTTGATTGGAGAAAATCAATACCGATGGGGATTTCTGCTCGTCGAGGACAATGGACATTAAAGAGCCAAGACTTCTGGATAAACTATTATAATAATGTTGTCCATCTTGTCTACGTAGATTACTTGCTGTCCAAACTGTAGTCATCGTCTTTTTCTCTTCTTCTTATGATGTTGAGGGTTGAATCAATGCATTTGGTTAGATTGATAGTTTACTGAAATAAATTGGAAAAAAAGTAAATGATTGTTTTTTATTTGAAAAAAAGAGGTGGGGATAGGACTGATCGACACATTCAGCAAAAACCTATTGTAGGAGAGAACAAACTAGGTTGTAGCTGAGAGAGAAATTGGGAAAAAGCGCTGGAGGTGGGGATAGGATACATATTGAGGAAAGCATCCAACTGCGTTACAAGATAAGCCCTAGGGCGATGGAAAAGAGGAAGGTTAAAGAACACATAACGCCAAGGATTTGAGACAGTCATTGATAGGTTCGTCACTAGGTACGCTTGAAGCTATTATGAGTTCAACTTAGTCGATAAACGCGAACGAGACAATTACCAAGCTGTAAACAGAAGGCTTGGTAAGTGTAGAAAGTATATTCTACAAACACTCAGCAATCACAATACAATCAAGCACACAATTCTCGTTTATTTATACATCATAGAAACGACGTCCTTGGGACAGTTACGAAAATAGCACACTAAAATATACAGCAGCCAATCACAGCCATGGATTTTCCTGGTGGGAAATGAAATCTCAAGGTCAACTGATCAGCCCATGCTAGCAAACGTGAAATCCAAAATTGAGGCATTTATCCAGCGAGTTCTGGGGATCTAACATCTCCAACAGTCATAAGAAGAATGGACAGCATCTGAGTGGAACTGTAAAAGAAGACCCAGGACACCGTAGGTTGGAGAATAATAGCCGGCGGCCAATGCTCCACTAGGGATAACAGGCGTAAGTAAGTAAGCAAGTACTTAGTAAATGTCTACAAAGATCATTTACTTATAGATATGTTGATTTTTTTAAAAAGATTGAAACTTGAACTCATTTGCAATAATAAATCAACTAATCTCTCATTGATTTTAACAGTATCATTTGAATGAATCAATTTTTGAATTTAATTTGTAAGAAGAGTTGAATATTGAAAGTTTTAGCGAATTAAAAGAGAGTGTATTCAATTGGAAACTCTTCCTGGAGCCGTTCCCATGGTTACTATCGGTCCTGATAAAAGAGAAGGGTTGGGCATGGAGTATGTGACATGTAACAAAGGTTCATCTACGTCTATTTGTGTTTCATTATTTAGTATGTTGCGTAGAATAGGAGTGGTTGCATTGTGGAAAATGTTCAACTCCACACTATTTCTAGTATCTAATGAATTTTTGAAATGGTAGAGAAAACTTGTAGCTCACATGGATGGATCTTGTTCGCTGAGCTGAATGTTATGGTTGTGGATCTCTCATTGTTTCTCTGGAAACAACGGCACTTCAGTTAGAAGTGAAGTATTAAAAATTCCTCCACGTGTAACGTGTAGCTTGTCCTGTTAACCTCATTATTGTCACTGAGCAACCAATACCAAAGTCAGAATTTTCAATATATATGTCAAGACAGTTTTGCTGTATGGAGCGGAAACTTGGAGAACTACGAAAGTTAACATCTTCCAGATACAAGTGTTTATTAACAATCGTCTACACAAGATACTTCTAATCCGTTTGTCAGACACCAACAGTAACAACCTATTGTGGGAGAGAACAAACCAGATTCTAGTGGAGGAAGAAAGAACCACTGAACACACAGTAAGGGAATCACTCAACTGAATCATAAGACAAGCTGCCACTTGTAATCCTTAAGGCCAAAGGAGAAGAGCAAGAGCAACGAACACATCAAGCCAGGAATGGGAAACAGACATGGAAAGAATGAATAGCAATTAGATACAACTGGAAAGAAAGGTTCAGTACTAAGAAGGTTGTAGAATGCTGGTTGGTGGCTTATGATCCATTGGGAGCAACAGGGGTAAGTAAGTAAGTAAGTAAGTAGTTAAGTAAGTAAGTGAATAAGTTAGTAAGCAAGTAACTAAGTAATGTATCAAAGATGTCTGTGAATAAATATCAACAAATCGACTCTACTGTCAACACTATTACAAAATATCATATTTCACAAATGCGAAATAATACACCGAATAGAATTGTAAAACAAAATTAGTTTCAACATGCAAATCTTATGTTCGATTAATTGACTGAAATGATAATTAGCGCGAATGCAATTATATGTAAGTGTCAGTAGATTTTACTTGTGGAGATGACAGTATTTTCACAGTTGGAATCACGAATTAAGCTAAATTGCCATTGAAAACTTGAAATCACTGGACGGCCGTTTTCTTCTAGTATATAGGACTATCCCAACAGTGCCTATTCACAACCTCTCTCTCTCTCTCGTGGTAATCGAACTCATACACATTTTGATTTTGCGCATGAAATAGCCTTCTAGAGCATTCAGATTTCCAATGGTAGTCTAGTTAAGATCAGTTCTGGGAAAGTTGTATTATTATTATTATTATTATTATTCAATTGGATGTGAGAAGTTGGCGCAGGAATACATTTTATTTGAAAAAACCAACTTCTGTTTTCATCCATATTCAAATTTCAATTATCTATTATTCATTGAACATTGAATGAATTCGTAATCGCGAGTTGACTTGTTGCATCAAGTTAGATCAAGTGAGCTTTATTGAAAATGTAAAAAGTACACATTTTCTTAAAAACAATATTTAAAAGTGCTTATGAGGACCGGATGATTTTGACCAATTTGATCTCGTGTGCTGGTACGGGTATGAGGGCGGTTGTCACTTCCCGGCTGCCCACATCGTGGGAGGGTGTTTCTTGAGGGACGTGAAAAGGAAGATAGATTAGTGTTGGTGTTGGAGACCTGGGTGCGTGACCGCAGAGCCCAACGGACAACTGCTTGAGGTCGGTCACGCACGGCCTTTTTATGAAGGGTTATTTGGCTCCGCTCTTGAAGGCCCTTAGTGGGCACCCTTACCGACAGAGACGGAAATCCGTGAGGTAGGGTGAGGTGTGACATTTTTAGGGTCGACTATTTCTAACCCTTCCTTCCTTGTGAGAATTCAGCATCACTACAGATGCTGGTTGTCCGAGGGAAACACCTTACTGCTGTCACACCCCTCCATCACAGTCAGCAGTAAGACTTAGCCCTCAGACCTTGAGTAGCTGCTTTTAGTCTCATCGTTCTCCAATCGACCTGCCTGGCATGGTAGAACCCTCAGGAACATATGTTCCAGCTAATACAGCTCGGTTGGGTCATGACGATAGGCGAGCCCGACCACCACGTCAAGGTAGCAGCTACGGTCGTACGTACGTACAAAGTTCTGCGTTGTTTCTGTCTATGAGGACCGGAAGAAAAACCACTATCCGAGTGGATCTATTTAATTTAGTAGGATACTTAATTTTCCAACCAGATGATTATCAATGAATTATATTTTAGGAACATCATCTGTAGTACATGCCAAATTCTTTGTAAAACCTTTTAAGATGTTAGAAATGTGTTAAGATATTCATCAAATATCCTAAACATATTATTTTGTAAGTCTAATTCTATTGGTCAATATTTTCAAGGTCGTCCTGAACTATCATCAAGTTCACATCGTTTTAAATGTTCTTTTCCTATTGGTTAGTATTCATGGTCGACCTAACTGTATAAATATGCTCCTCTTTTCTTTCTGTACAAAACCTCATATTTTAATGGGAGCTTGTAGAATACACTTACTTTCCACGCCATATCAAGACTTTTTGATACAGTTAACAGGGCCTTGGGACACCCTAGTTTATCGACTATAAGCATATCAACTGGTGATGAACATAACAAAATATTTACGCAGAAATTACGAAAATATCGATGTTATTTCGAAAATTTTTTATCTTTTTAAGTATCATCCAAAGGAATCTTTCAAACGATACTGTGGTGCGCGCTACTTATAAGTAGTATATGACGTGAGTGTCAAAGTAATGTCTGGCAGCAGAAGATGGGGGAAGATCAAGAAAGGAAGAGTGGGAACACAATGGAATTTGTATGAAACGCATGAATAAGGGAAATGTCAGACAATGGGTTGATAACGGATTGAAGATTTGCAAATTACGCGTTTACGATATGGTTTTCCGATTTTACTGAGTAACTCTGTAATTTTCGTTAAATACAATTTGGTTGCCCTCACCTGTGTTCTCATTCACTACAATACCAGTAACAGATGAATGTATGACTGCTATAAGCAAGGAGGTATTTTGAAGCGGATAAAATCAATGTTACTTAAAATTTGTAAAACTAAAGTACTTATGAAACCTTCGTTAATAAATATTTTTATTATGTGGACAATTTAATATTATTTTTATGATAGGATTGTAAAGATTGTTAAGTTTCATTGAAAATATGATCATATTCTCATTAGTAACTAGTTTCACGAAGGGATCCATGATCCTATCGGGTGTGTGAGGCAGTTACCTACCGAACATAATGGACGAGGATGCGCACTAAAGTGGATTGATTGAAGTTAGACATGAATACACCAGTGGATGTCGACTCAATGGTCTAGAGGTTAGATGTGCATGTGTGCGCGCAACTGAAGGTCCAGGGTTCGATTCCCGCAAGCGAGGATAGTGGATGCGCACTGTTGATATGTCGTATACTAGGTGGAAATGGCTATCCAAGGCTTTCACATTTTACTTCTAATGATGATGGTCTAACTTATTACAAATTTCTTTCTTTAGCAAGGACATATAGTTTAAGGATACGTTTTGTTTCAATATACTTGAATGTATTGTATATATGCACACATACATATTTTTCCGCTCTTTTTAAAAAGTATATTTTTATAGAAATTTTTAAACAAAAATACTATAAAATATTTTATTTTTTTACATGAGTTCAAGTGTTCAATGGGAATATTACTAGGTTTACCTATGTACCTATGTACTTTAATGCATTTGGATAAGTAATGAATGGTAAGATGTAAGATTTAAACTTTACAAATTCATATATTATAGTACACATGAAATGAAACAAAAAATGTGTACTCCATAAGAATGCATATTTAATAACTTAATTTTACTATTTATTTATAAAGCAGAAATTAATTTT